TCTTTCCTTTTCAATCAGGCTGCTCATAAAAGATCCACTCCCTCTGTTGGCTTAAATCACATCCTAAGCTAATATATGAATGTTGCTGAAATAATAAATCCTTCCTCCCTGGTGTAAAAGAACAGTGGGAGAGTGCATTATAGGTCCACCTCTGTCTCAATGGCATGTGGTGGAGCAGATGAGTCAGGGGGAATAGTCATAGTTTGAAAAGACAGAAATGAAATGACTGGCTCTTCTTGAGACCCTGCTAGAGATTGTAGTATTCTGAGCATAATATTCCAAATAAAAGCAGGATATTGGGGATTGTCAGAGAACAACAAGGTCTAAGTTCCTTTCGCTTGTGTCATATCTTCGTAAGTTCCTCAACGAATAACTTTTATACTTCCCCATTTTAAATGGGTCTAGAATTTCTTGAACATGTCCTTATCTACACTCCAGCTTCAATACTTCCCTCACATGTTTTCTTTTCTATTAGTCACTTCCTGGTTGCTGTTCCAGCAGCTCTACCTTCTGAGTGCTGTTATTTGAATCCTTTCAATCAAACAGCTACCCTTGTGCACCATAGACCAAAATGAATCAAACTGTAGGTCTCAGATCCTCTATATGTTTATATGAACACAAAAATCAGAAAAATAACAAGCCAAAATACGGACTTGTCCTGTATTTCAGGAAAAATGTAAGAAGTTATACTTCAGTTATAAATCAGTAATGTCAAAAATATTAAATGATTTCTCTACAACTTAAAATAAAGCAATAAAACATAATTTATGTGTGTGTATATATATATATAATTTGTTTTTTAAAAATACATATATAAAAGGAAATAACAACAAAAAAAGCTATACTCATTCCTGAAATATTTGAGGTTATAAGTTATAAAGCATTGGTGACCATATAATAACTTTTTCCCCCTTTTTTTTGGGGGGGGGTACTGGGGATTGAACCCAGGGGCACTTACCCACTGAGCCACATCCAGCACTTTTTCTTGAGACAGGGTCTCACTGAGCTCCTTAGGACCTCTCTGATTACTGAAGCTGGACTTGAACTTATAATCCTCCTGCCTTAGCCTCCTAAGTTGCTAGAATCACGAGCATGTGCCACCATGCCCAGCTCACCATGTGATGACTTATTGAGGTTTTCTAAGGATCTCGTTGATAACCAGGCTTACGTTGACTGATGTTGTAACTGCCGTATTCTACCAACAGTGGCTTGTCCGAAAGCCTTGAACTGCACTGGAACTGAATGTGAACCAGAGGGCTGGGCACTCGGAAAATCGTGTGATGATCCATGTAGGTGCCACAGTACCTTAGGAGAGAGGAGTAGGAGAGGACACACAGCTTGAGGTTTCATCAACTGCCTTCCTGTTGACAGTAAATTCATCTGTACTGTGGTCACTGGATTTTGTAAGCAGAAATGCACTAATGGTAGCATCGAATCCATCCTATGCTCTGTGGCCACAATCTAGTAACTTCTCCCCAATTTTATCTTCTGCTAAATAGAGCAGTAAGAGTACTACCAACACTCACAAGCAAACTATGAATTTAGGCAAGGAGCAGGAACTCAGATGATGCCCTTTAGTATAGAAAAAAAAAATATTTTTATACTTTACATCTCAAACTTACATTAACATTCTCTAAGTTTACACTGTCATAGATATCAATTCAGAGGTTGAAATTTGCTCAGTTTTGAACAACACATTTTAGAGATCTGAAGGCAATTCTTCTAGGCCCATCTCCTTTCAGTGAAAAACAAAAATAAAACATGAAACAAGAAGGTCTTGCCCACAGACCTCTGTGCAGAGCAGAGTGGAATCTCTGAGTTCAGGTTGAAAATATGCAAAGAACTTCATCAACACTTGAAGCAAACAACTATGCTATTTCCATCTAAATCAAAATATGATATGCATCTCTGTGTTTGTCCTTGGTAGAATTTCCAAGAAGTAATGTCTCTACACAATATTTCCCTCCCTTGATTTTTTTCTTACCTCTCATTACTTAATGCCACCAGGGTTCCCAAAATTCTTTTGGGAAAATAATCTCTCTGGTTAGTAATTTTGCTACATGAGCTCTGTGAGCAATGGAGTAGGAGCATTATTATACAGAAGGCCTGTGAGAAGTCCACTGCCCTGTTCGGGCAAGGCGTTTTCCAGTGTGAAACCTCTAGGGTCTCCATGGGAGACAGGGAGCAGCCTCAAGACTTGGGGTGGTACTGTCCCCTGGAACTTGTGAATGCCAATCACTCTAGGCCCTCAAATCAGTTGGGAACCTCAAAAGCCCTTTGAATCAGACACTGGCATTCTAAAGCACAGATAATCTGTGATTTTAGGGAGGAAAGCATTCTCATGTCATTCAGGAAGAGTCTCTTGC